GTTAAGTTTTTGGCCAAGTGTTCATCCGTCCTCTCCTTCAAGCGTTTTTCGCTTCTGCTAAATTCTTGTCTGTTGCGGTTGATCTCTTCCCGCAGGCTTTCTCTCTCGACGTGGACTGCCCCTCTAGTTCACTCATTCTTAAAGACATCTGTTCATTCTGTTCTCCTTTGCTGTCCACTATTGGCGTCACAAGTGGTGGTGTCACCCTATCGGTTCCAGGTAGCTTGGTGCTCGTCGAGACTCCGGTCTTGATTCTCTGCCTAGACGTCTCTTCATGATCCACTTCTGGATCCGCAAGTGGGTTACATAGCCTGTGTTTCTGTTATTCCCAGTCCGCATTTCCAAATTCGTCATGTTCACAAAGGCTCCTGACTGGCTTGATCCATTTGTGATCTTTCTTATTGTCCTGACCACACCAAATTGGTCCATTGAGCCAGTCTCTCTATTGGTGTATGCATTATTCTACTGAGTCGAACTATTGAGGCTGATTTGAGATCCGAAGTCATCTTGCTCGTCATCGTTCTCCTCCTCTTCCTGGGTTTCTGCTTCATCGCCTGTACCCGTTCCCATAGTAAATGGAAAAAAGTTTCCCAAATTGTTCTTCCTTCTTTCTGAAAACGAGGAGGACGTTGCCGGTTTCTCCGTCACACCATGCATCATAGTGTCGACTGTTCAAGATGTTGTAGTCGCCACGTTTTCAGTAGAGATGTCGGACAGTTCCGACACCCCTTCTCGGTCTATAGTCCCGGTGGAAGTGGCAAAATCTTGGCCTTTTTCTACCGGAGTATATTCACTCGCCAATTTTCGGTTTCCACTCCCTTCCGGTCCATGTCCCTCCCGATTCTCATCTATGGCAGGGTCCGGATGGACCTCTACTTCTAACATTGCCTTTTGTCCTTCTGAAGAATTTTGACTCCTGGTTTCAACCATTCCGCCTGAAACTTTCTTCCCTTTGTTGGTCCGGGCTCGTGCGATCCTTTCCACAAAAGGGTCGCTCATTGCCTTTCTCTGTTTCTCTGGTACGAATTTTCTAGAGCTATCACTTTATTTAGACGTCTATATTCATTTTTGACTTGTCTTGTCTAGATTCTTTTTTGATTTATCACTTCCTACTGCCTATACACTCAATTCGATTGCCAATGTTCTTGTTGTTTGACTACTGATAACAAGAAAACATCACAATAAATTCCCAAAAGTTTCACTTAAAAAGTGACCAAGAATCCTTGTATCTTATCACAGAACAGCGTATAAACAATTTATTCTTAACAGTCGATTATTGTTTGTAAGATTTGAAGCTTGCACAGTCTGATGATATCAAATTATTGAAAAGATAGTGTGCTCACTACCCAATCAAGAACAGATATTACTGATTTAAAACCAAAAACGAACGAATAAAAACAGTATTAGCAATGGAAAACATGTGTGTTTTGTATTTTAGTGAGTCGCATTACAAAAGTCGAACTTGTTTCAAAAGAAAGAGCTTTCCCTGTTCGGTGCCGCACTAAACAGACAAAACTTGAAGGCAGTAATTTTCGGAATGGTGAAAATAGGACCCTTCTGAATTGGCAAAAATTGGGATCCTTCCCGATTGGCAAAAATAGGACCTCTTGGCAAAATTGGACCCCTCTGGATTAGCAAAATTGGGACTCCTCCGGATTGGCAAAATAGACCCTTCCGGATTGGCAAAATTGGGAACCTTCCGGATTGGCAAAATTGGACCCCTCCGGATTGGCAAAATTGTGACCCCATCGGATTGAAAAAAATTGGAACCCTCCATATTGGCAAAATCGACCCCTCCGGATTGGCAAGATTACCAGCCTTCCGGATTAACAAAAATAGGACCCTTCCGGATTGGGACCCCTCCGGGTTTGTAAAAATAGCTTTTCCGGAAATTACTTCCGAACTAAACTTAACCGGTTTCACCTACTATACTAGTATAGTTACGATGTAACTCACTAATTTAGCTCTTTTTTCCGTTGCAAAAAATATCGATATCTCATAAATTGCGATTTGTGGGGGGATCAAAATATCACTATTTTGACCCTAAAAACCGGTCTGCTTACTGTCTTTTTCACTGAAAAACGGTATAGGAGTATTAATAGAGGCTGTAAAAATAGTAATACTAGTAATATTATACCCCTCCGTTATTGTTCAATATCCGAATTAAGGTGCTTAACTCGGAAATTCGCAACTCGGTGGAGGTTCACTTCAGTGCAGTCACTGTCGAGCTCCCCACAGATTGATATCTTACTCTTTGTACCAAAAGGGATACAAAACTTGTTAGAGATACCCAACAGTCGATTGTTTTGTCCTTGAGCCCGTTCTTGTAGCTTCTTGCACTGCTTGCCGCATCAGTCTTTTTCTCTAATCTCGAGACCCTTCCGGATTGAGCGCAAATTAGCATTAACGTGCTTAAATACTCAAGTAACCCTACAGTACAAGCACCAGAAACGGGCCATAAATTTGATCGTAACGATCCTGACTGATATAAATGCCTGTAATAAGAAAAATCTAACAACAACAAACGGGAGTGTCGGATCACATCTGGTCTGGGATGATAATTTCTACTGATTTTGTCGGTTATTTTTTTTGTTTTTTGTTTTTTCTTAGGAACTATAATACTTTTCGTTTCGTTTCTGTATATCTATAAATGTTTTTGGTCACAAACCTCTCAGGGAACGACGGGACGGCCAATCCCCCCACCCTTCCTGGTACGTAACTTTTTCGTCTTAGCTCGTTAAAAAGATATTCACGGGAATCGGGAAGGCTTCCGAGTTCCGAACCACCCTTCTGCCCCGGTGGTCAGGGCCTTGCTCCGAGCATCCGTTCGGCGCAGAGTCTTCGTTAACGGTTCTGCCGGTCATGATGTTTAAAAAAATCCACCCAGGAGCGCCATAAAAACATCTATGTAACATTCGCCCGGAAGAACACACAGACGGAAAATAAAGCTAGGTTCCTAAATGACTGGCTAGCATCCAAGCACAGCTCTAGATGCTTTTCATCGCCTCCGGATTCTGGAATTTGGGGAAATAACGTCCTTATTTCTTTCAGGAAGGCTGGACAAGCCGTTCCAACACCTTTCCTTGTTCTCGGGATTTGCTTTGTAACGATTGTAGCGGCCGAATCTTTACAACTCGGAATGGTCTTCGTAAAGTTTTCTTCAATCTCGATCAGTATCACACAATTTCTGTTAACTGCTTTTCTTCACGAATTCTCTTGTTCTTCTGTTTTCTCTTCGCAGTTTTCAGTTGGCGCGAAATTTCGACGTTGTCACGTGATTTCTTTTCAAACGAATTATTAAAAATTAACATGAAAGTCCAAATTAACCCATTCGCGTTCGTCAAAATGAATGATTATTTAGTATTGCGAAATACTACACACACACAAAAGACCATTGTCTTAATTGTTTATTTAACGACCCAATTCTAAATTGGAGCGTGCCATTGAAATTAAAGCCTGTTTTCACTAAATCAGATATTGACTGATTTACTCTTATTAGGACTATAAAATCTTGTTGTGAAAATCCACTCCTTTTTAAATACTTGTCCAATTTTTCTCATTTTTTCATGCTCAATATTTTAAAAGGGCGGCGATTATTAATACGTCCCTTTTAACTTAACTTGAAACAAACTGGATAAATATTTAGCAGTCTTGCCGGCTGCACTGAAATTCTCCTTGCTTTGATTAAGCAGAGGTGCACCTGCAATATGATGCATCAGAGAGAGTAATATGAATTTTTAATAAGACAAACTGAAGGCTGCGGTTTTTATCAAAGGGGACTAATAAGTTGAAGATATTTGATTTGAAAAAATCAAATAAAAACTAGTTGAAAATTCCCTTATTAAAAAGGGAGAACAAAGGAGCAGGTGAAACCTGAATAATTAAAGATTGAATCAGCCGCCGGTTTATGCTTATGAGCAAAAGGACTGGCCTGAAATCTTCAGTGTTTCATTTTGCTCAGTCAGCAGCAAGTCAGTTCTCTTCAGTCATATCTTTTAAAAATAAATAATTTTTCTTTTCTGCCCTCACACTAAAATTAATCTAGCCCTTTTCACTTATAAAAAGAGAATAAATTCTCATTTTAAGTTTGATTTGAAAAATTATAAATCGAGATACTCAAGATACGCACACCCGAGGAAGTCTGGACTACAAGTACCCAAAGGACTACAGCAAGACGATTCAGACGACCCAACCAGAAGTGCTGACTTGGACAAACATCAAGGGCAACCATACATACTAATCAGCCACCGACCTTAGTAAGAAGATAAAATATTGATGAACAAAATAAGATTAGCTCAACCTCCCCTCATAGGTATATTTCTTTAAGCTGTTCGATTCATTTATATAATCTAATAACCCAGTGCTCTGTATCTAACCAACTAATTAATTCATACCTTTTCTAACTATTGTTTCTACTCTACTTTTTGTCAAGACAATTTGACGATCTAAGGTGAGACTTATAATTTAGGATAAAATCACTAAGCATTCAACCAGCAATGAGCGCTTAGTAAAACTGGTGCGACCGCAGCAGAGAACTACTCCTTAAGAAATTCTTTTTCCAACAAACTAGAAACAGCTTTTAAAATTCAAAAAATATATTATTATGAGGATCTGTGAGTATTTGTCAGATTAGTTTTCAACCTCAAAAAGCCAGAGACAATGGGTATCTTTCGATAGAAAAACAATTTCATTGTCTTCTACTTGACAGATAATCCTGGTAGGGTTCTTGCGAAATGCATCCCCTGCGCTAGCAGTCGCCCACGATATCCCTCCATCTCGAGGTCTATTAGACGGCTTTCTAACTGACATTAGCTCATGAACTAAACTATTATCTATTATTATAATAATATATAAAATTTCTGAAAGAATCGTTCTCTGCCTAAGTCGCCAGTAAGATATACCCGTTTTGTCCAGTAATCCACTAAAGTTTTGCCGAAACTTCAGTTTAAAGTTATCATCACTAAAATTAACGAAATTCTGTATTAAACTAAAGTGCTCAAAAACTTATTAAATATCTTCATTTATTTTTTCGAGGGGGTTAAGTGGTCATATGTGCGATCTAAGAGTACCCTAAATTGTATGATAAATTGAATTTTTCATCACATTATCTCAAACCATCCACGGTTGTTGCTATTTATCCTAATCCTTCATCAATTCTCGAGGCTTATCCTCAAATTTTCTTAAACTCATTTTAATTCTAACCACCTTAACGTAACTTAAACCTAAATCATCCATCAGTAAAGCTACCAATTACTGAAACTAAGGAAGAAAATAACAAAAACCAAAAAGGAAGGAACGGATTTGAGTGTTTTTTAATAAATCATTAGTTTTTTTTAACACAGTTTAAATATACACCTAATAAACAATAAGATTACGCACTAAAACCAATCTTAAACGTTAACCACATAACACCAAACACCAAGTTTTAGTTTCAGCACAAAAATATCAGGTTTTACTACAAAAACTAAGTTTAAAACACTGACACATCCACTTTATATTTGTTGAGGACAGACGAGCTCAATGCCAGACTAGTGAAATACCAGACCAAACTCAAGGTCAGACTTGAGCAATAGAAACCTAATTAAAGGTCAACTGGTATAAAACTCAATGCACTCAGACAAGGTCAACTGGTCTGCTGGTATTTGATAAACTAATTAATTAACTGGTAATTAATTAACTGGTACTATTTGATGCTCAGTTTGTCGTGTCATTTTATAAACACAATCTCAATTCATTCTTCAACAATCAGTATCTCTTCTCTCTCCTCAGTTGAAACCTCAGATAACTCTCAAACCTCTATCCCCTAGTCCTACTTGCTCTAACTCTGAATCTTAACAGGTTATGGGCCCAGATTTCTAAACTTTTTGATTTAATAATTATTTGATTTCTGTCAGAGTTTTTTTTTAGCTTTTATCTAGCCTTTAGCAAAGCAGAGATGGACTTGAAACTGGCTGGATTCAGTGGAAAGTCTGAAGATTTTCCAGCTTGGTCGACGAAGTTTGTGGCACTGATGCATACCAAAGGCCTGTTCAGGACTGTGATGGGCAATGACGATCTACCAGAAGCTGAACCTACGCTACCTGAGAATCCGAATGCTGACCAGTTGACGGCGTACAACACCAAGATGCAGGAGCGAGCTGTGCTGATCCAGCAGAGGAAAGACAACCGAAACACAGTGTGGTCACATCTAGCTCTGGTCCTGAACAACACCACACTGATGTACATCAAGAACGACTGCGTGGCTGCGGATGGCTATGGCGATGGGACGAAGGCCTGGAGACTGCTGCAAGAGAAGTTTTGCAGTGTGGAGAGGCCTACAGTGGTCAGTCTAGTAGGCCAGCTTGCGAAGCTGCGCCTAGGATCAGAGGAGGATCTCGATGACTACTTCGTTCGAAGTCAAGAGCTGATGACGCGGCTGAGTGAAGCTGGGGAAGCAATTACGGACACACTCTTCAATGCGCTCGTGATCAACGGACTGCCTGACAGCTTTGAGCATTTCGTGGTGCAGGAGAGCTTCCAGCCGGCCAAGACTTTTACAGAGCTGAGAACGAGGTTGAGGAACTATGATGACTCGAGACGAGCTCGATGTGGAGAGAAGACTGGGAATGGACACATAGCTATGCAAGCTGTGAGGAAGAAGAAAGGAGCGTCGGGTGGTGGCTGTTTTGTGTGCGGTCAGAAGGGTCATTTGGCAAGAGATTGCAGATCCAGAAGTGACAGTGGTCAATCTGGTGCTCGAGGCAGTGGCTCGAATGAAGCAAGTGGTCCAACTTCAAGGAAGCAAGGGTGCTTCAAGTGTGGACAACAAGGACACTTTGCAAGGGACTGCAAGCAGGCAAAGACAGGGTTCTTCAGTTGTTGTGCAACAACCTCAATGAAGGGAGATGATCTCATTGTGGATACGGGATGCACCGATCATGTAGTGCGCGACAAGGCTGTCTTCTCAAGCTTTGAGAAATGGGATGAGGGGACAACAGTTGAGAATCCGAACGGTACAATATCAAAGATTGAGGGCATAGGCTCGGTGGAAGTGGACATACGAGACTGTCAAGATGTGACGAGGAGCTACACTTTCCACAATGTGCTGTTTGTGCCGAGCTACAACGTGAATCTGATGAGTGTGAGCTCAGCAATAGCTAGAGGGTCTAGTTTCAGCTTTACATCAGACTCTTCTCATCTTGTGGCACCGGATGGTCGACGGCTACCAGTGAAGCAGCGCGGCAAGCTTTTCTTCCTGGATTGCAAGTTCAAGAGGAACGCGATGACTCTAGCTACGAAAGCGAAGATGGAGACAAGTAGTGCAATGCTGTGGCACCGAAGGCTGGGGCATCTCAACAAGCATGATCTAATATCAGTTGTTGATGTCGGCGAGCTAGGGTTCTGCGAAGTGTGCACAGCTTCGAAGATGCACGAAGTAGCAATGCCAAAGAAGACAGAGAACAGGGCAACTGCAGTGGGGCAGCGGGTCTTCAGCGACATCCAGGGACCATTTGAAGTTGCGAGCATGCATGGAGCGCGCTATGCCGTGAGCTTCATTGATGACTTCAGCCGTCTGGCAGTGGTCAAGTACCTGGTTAAGAAGAGCGATACTCTTTCGAAGTTCAAAGACTTTGTAGCTGAGCACGGAACACCGAAGTGCTTGAGAACTGACAACGGAGGTGAGTATTCGTCGAATGCTTTTCGGATGTTCTGTAGAGAAATGCAGGTGAAACAGGAGTTTACAGTACCTAATACTCCGCAACAGAATGGCGTGGCAGAGAGGTACAACAGGGTGATAACTGAGATGACTCGATGTCTACTGGCCGATGCAAAGCTCTCAAAGATGTTCTGGGTACGAGCAATGTCAACGGCAGTCAGGGTTCGCAACTTGTGTCCTACATCCAGCAATGAGCATCGCATTTCATCAATGGAGATGCATTATGGGAAGCCATCGAAAGTCAACTACCTGCGAGTGTTCGGATGCCTGGCGTACTACCTGGACAGAGGAAACCGGCGGAAACTGGATCCGAAAGGCAAGAAGAGCAAGTTCATTGGTTATGACGAGGAGAGCAAAGCCTACTTGCTGATGGACCTGGAGACAAAGCGAGTGGTACGAGCAAGAAGCGTGACGTTCAATGAAGACATCATTCCAGACGACTTTCTGGTAGACAGTGAGCAGTCACAAACACTGGGTCTATCAATCGAGGGATGCATTGATGTAGAGGAAACTAGCACGAAGACCATCACTGAGTCTACCAATAAAGCGAATGATAGTGGAGCAGCAGCTTCAGTGGGGGTTACGGAAGATGACCCAGTCGAGACTGAAGAATTGGAACCACCTTCCACAGAGCCTCCAGAGCAGAGGCCAACAGATATTCCAGAGCAGCGGTCAACTAGAACGCGGAACCCTCCCATCCGATACGGACTGGCTTACACTCATGCTTCAGTGATAGCACAAGAGCCAAGAAGCTACTTGGAAGCAGTATCTGGACCAGAAAGGGAGCAGTGGCTAGCAGCTATGGCTTTGGAGGTGCAGTCACTGAAGGCAATGGGCACCTGGACACTTGTTGATAGACCAAATTCTCGCAAGGTCATTCCTGGACGCTGGGTGCTTGCTGTGAAGAGAGATGCAATGGGACAAGTGGAGCGGTTTAAAGCCAGATACGTGGTGAAGGGTTTTATGCAAGTGGAAGGACTGGACTTCAATGAGACCTTTGCGCCAACCTGTAAACCAGAAACAAAGAGAATACTACTGGCTTTGGGAGCGCAAGATGATCTTGTACTTCATCAGATGGACGTGAAGTCAGCCTTCCTCAACTCGCCGTTAACAGAAACTGTGTATATGGAACAGCCCGAGGGGTTCAGCAGCGGGGACAACCAAGTGTGTTTGCTACAACGCAGTATCTATGGGCTGAAGCAGGCAGGAAGGGACTGGTACCAGACGCTGAGCACGTTTCTTCTGGAGACTGGTTTCACTCGAAGCACCAATGACTTCTGTTTGTTCACGATGAGGGGAATGGATGATGCTATGATCTATGTTCTAGTATGGGTGGATGATATCATCATTGGCTGCAAACTGCAAGCAGAAGTTGACAGGGTGAGGGACCGATTCACTGACCGATTCAAGATGGATGATCGCGGTCCATTAGCCTGGTTTTTGAAAATGCAGGTCAAACGGGCACCTGGTTCTGTCACTGTGAATCAGTCTCGCTACATTGAAGACTGCTTGGAGCGCTTTGGGTTGGCTGACTGCAAACCAGTAGGGACACCAGCTGATATCAGCACTCAGTTGACGAAGAAGGACTGCCCTGGAGCGGGCTCAGAAGAAGCAGTGGCAATGCAGCGTGAGGACTACAGAGGCATAGTGGGCTCGTTATTGTACATAGCCAAGCAAACGAGGCCAGACATCCTAGCTACTGTGACTCAACTTTCACGGTTTCTGGAGAATCCTGGGAGAACACACTGGGTGGCTGCTAAGAGAGTACTGCGATACCTGAAAGGAACCAAAGATCTGGAGCTGTGCTACATCAAAGATCCTGATGGGTTCAACCTTTATGGTTCAGCAGATGCTGACTGGGCTGGTGACGTTGATGACAGAAGGTCAACAACAGGCTACAGTTTTCATGTGCAGCGGTCAGGAGCAGCAATCAGCTGGAGTACCAAGAAGCAACCTACTGCAGCAATATCTACCAGCGAAGCTGAGTATCAAGCAATGGCAGCGGCTGTTCAGGAAGGCCTCTACTTACGATCCCTACTCAATGAGATGGATATGACGTGTGATGGTCCAACTGTGATCAACGAGGACAACCAGAGCTGCATCAAGATGTGCAAAAATCCCGTAATGCAGAAGCGTACAAAGCACATTGATGTCAAGTATCACTTTGTCCGAGAGCGGGTCGAGGATGGAACATTTGCGCTCGAGTACTGTCCAACCGAAAACATGGAGGCTGACTTGTTGACGAAATCCCTGAGCAAGGCAAAGGTGGATCAACATCGTCGAACGCTGATGGGTTGCAGCCTGACATTGGACAAAGC